GAGGGTTGGAGTACTCAGATGTATTACGCTGGCGGGCTCAGTGGGGCTTCTGCTCCGAAGCTTTGAGCACTTCCAAGACGTGCGCATGAGGTTTTATAGGGTAAAGTACAAGCTTGGGGTATTTGTCCAATAGGCATGGAACAGCTTTAGTAGCATCATTATCACAAAAGTAGGGGCAGGGAGACAGCAAACCAACATTCCAAAGCCAGATATGTATCTTTGAATATCCAGCTGGCTAGCAAAAATACATGAACTGCAAACCAACACTAATTAACTTAGATTTACAAGTTTGTCCAGCAGAACTCAGATCAGTATTCTGATACTTAGATTTGTGAGTTATCTTGTTAGACCAGCCCAGTTTTTCCTTCACAATTTTAGTTCATCTAATTTAAAACTGGATATAATTGACCTGCAAAAATTCCTTATACCAGCCATTTTTTGAGAACTGAATTTTTAAGCAAAATATGGTTTCAATCTTAATTATATTATATGAACTTTATATTTATATGTTGAAAAGTATAAAATTATTTAAATTGTCTCCAGACATGCATTACAGTTATCAAGGCTGTCTTCCTTTCTCTTTTTCTAAACCATTTATCTGAGGAAGAATTGATTTTTATAGGTCCCAATAATATTTGCATTTAATTTCTTCCCTTTCCAAAACAAATACATTTATTGTTCTAGGAACTCCAGTAGACAACTAAAGCAAGGACAAAGTCACCTGCAACACCTCAAAAGTTAAGTTTACCTTTTCGTGTGTTCTTGAAAATGGCAGACTATGTGGTTGAACCATTAGGGTGGTCCCCTTTTGTGCTTAGCCCACTAGATTAGATCTGTTGTGTACTATACAACCCAACTCTTTAGCTGGCTTTGAGAGTCACCTGATCCATATGTGGGATGACTCTGCAAAGAATAAATTTGTAAATATATGTAAATATATATAAATTCTAGCTCCCTAAATTTGCCCAAATGCCTTAGGAAACAGTTTCATTAGCATTCCTATAAGATTCAAATTCCTCTTTTTTCTTTTTCCTGTGTAGACTTACCAAGATTGGAATTTGAACTATCCCTTAGATTATATAAAACCAATAGTGATTAATTACTGCTT